ATCATTTACAGTCACGTGTCAAGGAATGCATGTAAAAGTGAAGAATTAAAAACTTTAAGGAAGATACCTTTACTCCTCTCAGAACTTTTTTTTTCTCAGGTATGATCATTAGCAAGGAATGACCTATATAATTTCAGAAATATCATAATCGTAGAAATGCAAAAAAGAAAGAACAGATTGATAATGAGTACCAGTAATAGGTAACTTTACTACAGTTATCCAACTTTTAGAAAAAGTATCTTTTTTTACTATTCAGAATAAGTTAAGATTAACATCGAGTTAAGTAAAAAGTCGTGTACAAAGTATGGCCAGAATAAGTTCCTCACAAACTACACTTACATAATTACTTACATTTTAATGACTTTTTGGGGGGGAATAAAATCTACGGGAGAAGCCGTTTTTGAAATATAGTCTTGTCGAAACTAAATACACTCTTAAGCGAAAGGAATCGTTACTGCTTCATGCTATACACCGACACACCCCTGAAAACATCATCAAATCTAATTAACAACAGAAGATGTTATCCCCGTCAAAGGCAGTATTTTTATCTCGCTCTTGGTGAGTGACAAAGAGTAGAACCAGGAAAGTATGGACCGAAAAGAGAAAATAATCAAACAGCAAAAGGATGTAGGAAATATCCGCTTCAAAAAAGTCAAGGAAGCGCATATCAATGCGTTGCGTAGTCCCAATTGGACGTGTTTGCTAATAATAAAAATTATCAGATATTATTTTAAATAAGTGATGATCAAGGAAGTTTGATTAAAAAAAAATTCTTCAATACTGCGTCTGAATGATTTTATTACCAAGAGGACGTCAATAACAATTTCTGGTAATATCTCAATATTATATAAAAATTAAATGAAAAAAATATGGTTGTTTTTCATATCCGACAATTTCTTAACAGTCAACAAACTTTTGACATTTGAGAATCAACACTTGAAAACAAAATAAAATAAATATATAGCAAAGATTTATTTGGCAAAATCACTATTAATATTTCAAATAATAAGTTCCCCTTGGCCAGTTATTGGACGAGGTGGGGAAGGGCGAAGAGACAGAAATACAGTGGAAGAGCAGATAAGTAGGGATTGCCTTAATAAATTACTAAGCGTTGTAAATTAAAATATAAGCGGACCCTACGCAGTCAATCTGAATGACATACCAAATGAGTATTGGCATTCTGATTTGAAGTGTAAAGTTAAGATTAATTGACTGAACTGGATGATTTCAAATAATGCAAAAATACGAGCTTCAGTCACTCGTAATGGATGTTAGGCAGATCTCCAATATTAATAAGCAATTCGGAACCGATGTATATTGCAAATAGTCGATTGAGGTAAACAGTTTTTCATATATGTACACACATCAAATAAAAAAAATAATCGTTTCTTATGCTAATAGTACAATTGATTATAAAAAAAGTTAAAATAAATTGTTCGCATTAAAGTTATAAATAACACTCTCACATTACAATGTCACCTACTGACCAATATGCTTACTTCCTATCTGTTCCAAAATGTTCGGAAGCTTACTGCACAAAAGACTTGTTGATATACCAACAAACACAAAATAATAATAATAAAATAACCTGGAACACTAACAATCCATGAAGGATCTTGTGTTCAGTACAATGTGAGGAAGTACTGTTATAAAGCCAACGGTTGTGCACGGAGGGGATCGGACCGATATCACGCACAACAGCCAGTTTTTCTCAATTAATTAATTATTTAATTAAGAGTAACCATTTTATAGAGGTTAGATTTACCCCAAGAGGGTCTCCCGGCTCCAGGGTTGATCCACAGCTGAATGAAAAATTACTTGCATCTTCCGGCTTCGAACCTGGGACCTTGAGCTCTGGAAGTCAGTGCTCAACCACAGAGCTCCCCTCCCTTCCCTCGCTCTCTACACAAATAATATCTGACCATCAATTTGGATTTAGGGCATATCACATAACTATACAACAACTACATAGAGTTACGGACTACATATCTACGGCACTAGAGCAGAAATTATATGGCGTATTTCTAGGTATTCTTAAAGCACTAGGATCTACTCTTTTAACTCGATAGAATTAAACTAAAATTAAACTCTTTAAACTAAAATAGAATTATCTTCCATCAGGTATATCTCAGCAGGAGTACCCCAAATGTATTATATACTCGCTCCACTACTCCATATCATAAACACCCATGACGTACTTTGCAATTCCAACATTTTAACAGCAACATATGCAGACGACGCAGCAATTTTAGCACAGAGCCTACAGCAGCATTGAACAATATTAAATAATGACTGATTTAACTTTCGAAAATCCGACTAAATCAAGACAAATCACAGAACATTATATTTATCCTTCGTCATGAAACATGTCCTGCTGTTTTCCTTGATAATGCACAGATTCCACAGACAGACTCCATTGATTATTTTGGACTGACATTCGACCGAAAAATAACATGGGGCCCACACATTACGAACAAAATAAAAACACTAAATCAAATACTAAGACTTCTAAATTAACTTCTCCGGAAACACTCCAAACTAAAACTCAAACAGAAATTAAATACATACAACTAGTTACTAAAACTTATTTGGACTTACGCATCACATGTTCGGGACAGCTAAAGACACTCACATAAAAAAGTTTCTAATCATTAAGCAAAAACATTCAGGTCAATTACACAAGCACCTTGGTAAGTTAGCAACAAAACCTTACATACTTATCTTCATATGCCGACTGTTATCGAACACATACGAAGCCACTAAAAACGATTCCATAAAAACTTACAGGGATACCCTAACTTATAAATGACATGGCTTCAACATAAATACCAGGAAACGTCCGTAGAAGACTGAAGAGGAGCTGGATGAGGGACCTTCTCGCTTAATGTAGATATCATGCCAGGAGAAGGTGCCGCTGGGTAATGCTTCCCCTCATGCCTTTCATGCCATTACATTTTGCACTACCATTAAATTCACCGATTGTCACTACAATTTTTTGACAGTTGTGGATAAAAAATTACAAGTTAAAAAAAAGTTATAAAAAAGTAATCTATCTATTCCATACCAAATTGTCCAAGGGCCAACCGCCACCTCCTAAAATTTTAATGAGGATTGGTAAATATTAAGTAAATGCACAAATAAATAAAAATTCCAAATTTTGCGTAATTCCAAAGATTATTTCATTTAAACTTTGGAGAAATTTGAAATAGAGAAGGCATTTTGAGTTCAAAACCAACATATACCTGTTTGATTTTCCTTTGTAAAACCAATATTAATTGAACTAGAGTTTTCAAAATTTAGATATTTGTCATAAATTTAATGCAGAATAGGCTGATATTCTAAGTATAAGCACTATAGATTTTATCAGAGTTAAAATAATTCTTAAACATAAATTTTCAAAGTTTTGATACGGATAAGGAAAAACACCAATAGCTAAAATCTCTCTCCAAATAACCCAATATAACCATATACTATTAATGCTAATGGAATGGCCCTACTTTTTTTTTCAAACATATTTATTATTTAAATATTTTTTTCTTTATTGTAAATAATTAAATGGCGGAACCTAAGTGGTTCTACGTTTCACAAAAAAATATTTCCTTCTATTACAAAACGAAATTCATAGCCAGATTGTACCTCTTTATTTACTTGTACCTCACTATCCTCCTATGCAACCGTAATGGTCAAACAAACTTTTCCTTCATTAAAAATAGTATTAATAGACATTGCGTCAGAGCCGCACTGGCTGGTGTGTCAATGTCAACAGAGTTAAAATGGTGTAGGCTGCCATAAGTGCAGGGAACTTCCTGGACCAAGTTATTTTTGACAATCTTAAAACTGCCATAAATGACGAACTGATCATCATGACTGATGCTTAAGAGGTATAAAAAGGGAGTGGACGAAGGAAAGGTACTGTTTTTTTCGTTTATGGGAAATTGCGTGTATTCCATAAAATTACGCCATGAATTGTGCAAAAAAAAAAAATAATAATGATGATGATAATCAAGAAAGAATGATAAAGAAAATATTTTTTTGTAATTTAATAACAAAATTTCAAGGTAAAAGTCAAAATTATACTTCAACATTCCGAACGATCTCTCTCTCTCTCTCTCTCTCTATATCTCTATATCTATCTATCTATATACTATATATATATATATATATTATATATATATATATATTGATCATCATGACTGATGCTTAAGAGGTATAAAAAGGGACGTGTAGACGATATATATATAATATATATAATATATATATATATATATATATATATATATATGAGAGAGAGAGAGAGAGAGAGAGAGAGAGAGAGAGATATTATGATATACTGGCAGTGGACAAAGGAAAGGCACTGTTTTTTTCGTTTATGGGAAATTGCGTGTATTCCATAAAATTACGCCATGAATTGTACAAAAAAAGTAATAATAATGATGATGATAATCAAGAAAGAATGATAAAGAAAATATTTTTTTGTAATTTAATAACAAAATTTCAAGGTAAAAGTCAACATTATACTTGAACATTCCAGCGATCACTCTCCACTCTCTCTTTCTCTCTATCACTCTCTCTCACTCTCTTTCACTCTCTCTCTCTCTCTCTCTCTCTCTCTCTCTATATATATATATATATATATATATATATATATATATATATATATATATATATATATATTATGATATACTGTTAAAGCATTTGATACATTCCAAAACAATTTAGCTTTAACATCATTACAATGTTTAAAGCTTGCATCTATTATGATTTAATTCTGAAAATACCTTAATGAAAAATATGGTTGCTACAACTTATTTTTAAAGAAGAAAATCAAATGAAAACTACCAATTAGTATTATTTTTTTTATGCTATAATACATAAGAAAATAAACTATTTCTAACTCTCAAAATGACAGCTCACTAGAACTCAACCTTGGGCAATTGTATCGAGCAACAATGGTCCCATAATTCTATTTTCACAAAAAGATGTAACTGCCAGTCACATAAATGTCCTTCGAAACTAAAGAACGAACACGTAACTTAAACATCGCTTCAGATTTTTGTAGTTTTACTTTAAAAGTGTAAGAGTTACTATTTTTATATTCAAGATATATGTATATATATATATATATATATATATATATATATATATATATATATATATATATATATATATATATATATATATATATATACATATATATATATCCACTTTTTTTTTAATTATGTTTAATTTTCATTCAGAGATTTCGTCAACGAAAACCAAGACGGAAGTTAGAGAAAAAACAACGCGTCAGATATGACGGACATAAGTGATTATCCGTATATCCGCCTCGTTGAGATTGGAAAAGGTAATTTACTTAATATCACTTGTTAGATCTCTATCTCTTTTCAGACTTATCCGTGTATCCATGTACAGGGCATGGATAATTATCTATTTCTGTAATTATTCATGTCCGAAAAAGAAAAACAAAATTTTTGTTTTTCTGTAATAAATAGTTTCATCTGCATATGGATTACCATACGCAGATGGAACATATTAATGTAGAGATAACAGTGTAATAATAAGGAACTTTGCGGTAACAATGCATTACTATGAAGATGACACCAATTTGAAAGCCCCGTTTACTACTGATATCATCATAGTCGTGAAGCACGTTATCCCAATTACTCCCACAAGTATCCATTAGAGTTAGAGACAACTTTTAATTTCTATCAAGATTTCAAAGTGCAGCTACTACTAACTTAGTATAATAATTAAATTAACCGATTAAAATGTTTTATAAATTGAAAAATAAACAATAACCATGAATCGCATGATATTACCGCGTAACTGCTTTTTACCTTTCTTTTTTTTATTTCAATGCAAATATCTAATTTAAAAGCCACTAAAAAAGATATCAATTTCTGCCATTTTTTATGTCGTAGAATATAAATAAATAAAAGTAAGAGTTAGTTACAAAGTCGTCCGACTATCATAACAGAAAACAATTATTTATTTGTCGGATTTATATTTTTCTGCAACAAGAAAATTAAATAGTTCCTATGCAAGTATGTCCTAACAAAAAAATTGTTTGAGATATTATAAACAACCAGACGAAAAATGATTAAACCACACCCATATCCAACTATCTTAAAAATTGCAATGATGTTTTTTATACATATAAATGTTGGATTTGATTGACCCCTGAGTCAATTTGTTAATACTAAAAATTTTCGTTCATTGAATATTAAACATAAAATTTATAAACATATGGTTGGCCAAGCGATGGGATTTAAATGACTTAAAAGGATCATGGTAGTAAACATAAAAAAATCTGGTGCGATGGGGGCATGACACAGCTTTCACTTACCACAACACCTTGGATAAAAATATGTCTGTTTATCGTTTGATGTTTTATGTTCAAAACATTTAGGTCATCAGTGACCGATTGATAAAATAATACTACTATTAAAATAGCTTGTAGGAATACCGTATAGAGGGAAATGAATTTAGAAATCACAGGCGGTACACAACAAATACCTTAAAAAAATAATTACCAAATGTTTTCCTTACTCGTCTAATTTATTAAATGTATCCGTTGTTTGTCAAAAACCATTTCCTTTTACGGCAGTATATATTCATTATTTATTTAATTAGAATCCATAATTAAGTGCCACGAAAATGTTTTAGTCAGACAAGAGTATCCGTGAGGAAGTTGGAGATTCATTTATATCTCTTTCTAGGTTATTTGTTTAAACACTCTTTATATTACCGTAATCTATACAATTCATTATTAAATAATATTAGCACTAGTATTTATGAAAACTGCAAATATAACAATATTATCTGAATCTGTGCGCCTCTCATCTATAATAGATCTCACTACGAATGCGCTACGTTTAGAAGACTATCTTAACCATTCGATAAGCTCGGGTTTCTTCGATAGTTCTCGGTTCCAAATTACCCCAAGCGCGCTTTCGAGTCAATACGTCAATTCTCTGTCTCTCGTTATTTCTCCTTTAGATCTCGTATTTCTCCTTTAGTTTATAATATTTTTTTAATTGTTTATATTCAACCATTATTATTAATTATTTACAATGCGAGATAGTAATTATTTTTAAATAAACAATATAAAAGATACTTTAGAAGAAGAAATGTTGAAAACTTAGTATTTAAGCCCATCGGGAAAACATCAATTAGGATAAAACATGTCTTCTTTTAAAATCACTTACATGTAAATCAGTATAAGGAGTTTAATTAAAATTGTTGGAGCCATTTTTTAGAAAAGCGTAAAAATGTCTTAAATGTATGATATAAAGTGCAACTTTCGGTTTGCTGATATTGACAAAACAGTAGATTTAACATTCCAAGCATACACCTATATTAAATGCACAATACCAGTTTCGTACGACTTTTCGTTTTTGAATTAGGTTCATCACTCACACTCAGGACATTTTGCGGGATTTGGACAGAACATTTCGGTTATTAGGAATCACAAGACCTCAAAACTTGTTTTGAAAATTTTTCTCGATCGTGATACTTCCCTTACTATACTACATATAGTAACTGAAATTAAAAAGTAACTAAATGGAAATGACAGGATTTATATATTGAATTTTCAAATGTAAGTTCAGCTAATAGCAACACTGAACATTCAGATTTAAAAAAGAAAATAGAACAAAAAACGTTTGAAAAACAACAGAAAGATAAACAGTAACTGAGCCATTGTGTTAATTGAAAACAAATGATATAGTTAAAAATTATATAATATCAAGTAGTATATCTTGTTAATCGTAAACTCTAACAGCAACAATTTTTGCCTGCCTCAGCAAAATGGTCTCAAAATCTCACTAAGGGGTTTTATTTGACCTTTCAGATTACATTTGGGATTTAGGGCTTCAGAAATCAATCGGCATAACCGCTTACACTAACAAAACAATGAATGAACTAGAAGCGTCATTCAGGCATGGTTATGTGGGGAAGGATGATATCACTCCAATCTACGTTTTACTTTTTCTAATAAAAATACTAATATCTTTAAATTACATTAGCATAATAATTTAAAGTTTTATCATTCAATAATTCATTAGTTCAATAATAATTATCGTTTAGTTTAATAAATTCAAACACTTGGAAACACAAAAGCGATATGTTTCCCATAACTAGTTTTGGCCAATTATGTAGGCAGAGAATAAATAAATAAATATTAACAATAGGATGGTCAAAAACGTTTATAAAACATTTACATAAATTGAGAAAAGGCAATTTGTTATTATTTAATGGACACATTTTCTTTAAAATACTACATATCAATTTTTTTTAACATAAATTATAGTGTTTCTGTTGGAAGTCAGTTAATTATTATCCCATAAATAAAACAAGCTTACTTGATGTAAATCAAATAATTTGAAACATTCTCAATATTTTTCATAATATAATGATGAATTGTAGTTTGGGAATAAAGCCTCCCTATCGATTTTATGGATCATAAAAAAAAAAAACTTCATTCATCTAAAAAGTGTGACTATGAAAAATATATATTTTTTCATTATATTATCTTATATTATTAATATAAATAGTATTATTTTATTAATATAAATAATTATATAGATTTTTTGCGAGTATTATATTTATTAATTAGTATGCTCAGTATATTTATGTATGTGTAAAGTATAGGTATATATATATATTTTTCCATAGATATTTAAAAGGAAAAAAAAAATATATATATATATAGTGTATATATATATATGTATATATGTATATATGTATGTATATATGTATATGCGTGTGTGTGTGTGTGTGTGTGTATTGTCATGAAATCTTATATAATTAATGTTATACTTTCTTTGCCATTGCTATTTAAAAAAAAAAGTTATAAATATTATTATGTTGTAAGTTATAAATATTATTTATTGTCATATTTAAAGGGCCAACTCTAATATGATTCATGTAACAAGCATGTACTGCTATATACAAAAATAAATTACAATTCTAATTCTAAATAGTAATAAAGACTTATATATTTATTATAAAATTATATTATTAATATAATAATATAAAACTCTACCACAGACATAGATAGAACTATATTACATATCAATAAAATTATACTGTTTTTTTTTCAATGATTTTTCTTTTTTTTTTTTTTGCTTCATCTTACTGATATTTATAAAGTATCGTACCCATCAAAAGTTAAAAGTCACCGACTTTGACTCAACACAGTTATCATTAAAAATTAAACCGTGTCTTAGGTGTTATGTAATTGAAAAAGTATTAACCCTTTCAACTCACATCAGCGTAAACGATCAAAATTTTAAAAATATTGGTCAGAATAAAATTGTTCGATTTTTAGACCTATGATTTAAATGAGACACTTGTGCAAGACCAAGACCGTGAGCAAGACTGAGTTTGCAAGACCAAGGCTCGTCTCGTTATAACATTTGGGCAACACTAGTAGTGTCCGTATGATGGACAGTTATAGGTAAGGATTTTGGCAAATATAAAATTAAATTAAATTTACAAAGATACTAAAATTTGCCTAGCTTTTCTTGGATACATTTTTTACTAATTTTGTTTTTTTAAGTTCGATCAGAAACTTAATTTCAAAATTTCCAGAAATAATGGTTTATTTATTTATTCTTGTATGTCTTGGTAATTTGTTTTATAAGAAAATTTGTAATAAAATAATAGAATCAATTTATTAATGTTAATTAATTTATATTATGGAGCGTGGTAGCTCAGTGGTAAGGCGCTAAGCTTCCAATGCTGAAGGAGCCAGATTCGAATCCCAGCTCATGGCAGAAAAATTATTTATTCTGTTTCCATTGGCCGTGGGACGACCTTGGGATAGCGAGACCCTCCTGGGGCACACCCAGCCTATATAAAGTGGGTACCTTTAATTAAATAATTGATTAAGGGAGAAAACCTGGGTGTTGAGCGTGACCTGGTCCGATCCCCTCCTTGCACAATCGTTGGCGTTGAAACAGTACTTTCCTTAAATAGTACAGAACCCAAGACCCTTCATGGGTTGTAATGGTATAGGTTTTTTAAAAAAAAAATAAATTTATATATATTTTTTGTGATAAGCAGGATATAAATATTTAATTTTTCCTACTAAAGCTACTAAAAATCTAAGACTTCAATTTAATGTTATTCATAGAGTTCTACCAATGGGTAGTTTCTCTTCATGTTGTACATGCCATGTTACAAATTTCTCATTTACTTATTGTATTCTCTATGTAATACGGTTGTAAATTCCATTGAAATAATAAAAAAAAAAAAGGTTATTCATG